TGACCAATCTCCTTGTAAAGTTGGTAGATACAACTCAAGAAAAACATGACTAAAAATGGAAAAAAAGTGGAAATCCAACAGGATTAGGTGGAAGGTTTTCAATTTAAATCAACTATAGTGTTGCTATAAAGTTTAAACTATCTTTCATTTATTCAGTACACACACTGAAATGGCCAGTTAACATGATCATTATCAGTGTTCATTTTATTTTGTATTAATCTCTGATTACTAGAGAAATCTTACAGACAATCTTCATATTTTTGGACCTTAACTGTCAGATCTGTTGAGAATTTAGCATGTGTCAAATCTTCAGTTTCCATGGCAATTGCTCAGTTAGCGATGGGGAGAGGCAAACAAATCTTTCCAGGCTGTCACTGTAAACCCACCAATCACATCTCTCTGTTTCTAGTTTATATTCTTCTCCTTTTCTCTCAATATTTCTCTCTACTTTTTCATTTTATCGCACGTATTTCATCACTTCTCCCTTTCTCCCAGTTGTCTTTAATCTCACTTGCTTTTTCTACATCTCTCTGTCTCTGTAGCTTGCAGGCTAGTGCTACTGTTTTGACTTGTGCTTCTAACACATGGGCTTCCCTCCTCATCCGCCTACGCAGTGTACTCAGGGAGATTCCAAGCACATAAACACACTCACAGATACACACTCGCTCTCACACATACAAACACAGCGCATGCACACACACACACTGGCAGACTGCAGAGCCCCCAAGGTCTGTTCTTAGTGAATTATTCAGTCTGCGTTGGTGGGTCGGTGTGAACGTGTTTGTGTGACTAAGATCTTAGTGTGTGTGTGTGCCTTTGGTTGTGTGCTTGTCTCATGAATCTGTGAGTGTGTGCTTATGTGGGAGTATAAAATGGTGTTTTCCTCTTGAGCAGCAGCAGCTTGTCTTAAATCAGCTTCTCCATCAGCTCCCTCCTCTCATGCTTCAAAAACTCATTAGAGAGAAATTGCAGGGACCTTGTGTTGTGTTAGGCAAACATATATTATGTCGCTATCCATATATTTTTTTAACACAACACATTACAGTATGTAAAGTAGGAATGCAAAGATCACTGATCAATTAGTAACATGATCAATGTATGGCAATGGCATTGCATATGTAAAGGTATGATTAATCAACACATTTTTTCCAGCAAAATATATAGTAATGTATTTGTAACATATTGCATAAATGAATTCTGGGGCTAGTTAAGGGTAGCTGGGGCTCAAAAAATGTATGCAATTATAACTGATAGAAGAGAAGCCCCCTCGTCCTCATTTCTTGTTACAAAAGAGGCACTCTCAAAATCTAAAAAATCATGCCAGTATCCCCACGCCTTGCAATTTAGAGCAAGTGTCAGCATTTTGTGAGAAATAGTACAGTGCCTTTTATCAAGCAAGGAGAGAGTGAGGGTGTGGGGAGACTTTCATACGTGAGATGGGAATTGTTTGGGAGTTTTTTCCAATGCACACTACACACTACTCGTACAAACATGCAATTAGATGTACAGCTTAACATCAGATATCTTGCACTCAAATGGCTTTTTAAACACCGTGGAAGCTTCTCCTTGTCTGTTGGCCATTATCAGTAACTGAAAACCAAGTGCACTTTCTCTTTTCCAAGCTGGAAAATGAAATGTACAACACATAATTGTGCATGCACACATCTCTGGTTGCATCTCTGCCTATGTATTAACTAGTGCCCATGCAGCCAGACAACCCCATCAAGCTTTATGAGCCTCTAAGGGCTGCTGCCACCGCTAATTCATGGAGGCAGGCTATCAAGTGCAGCCACACAACTGATCTCCTCTCTTTCCATGAATATCTGAACAGGCCCTACCATCGGTTTATGTATCCCTGAATAACAGCCTGTTGAATTGAAGCTTTGCAGCCTCTGTATATTACACTGCATGTATGTTTTATGAAGGAATGGAGGAGAGAATGTGATAATCTTGGAGAAATGTGCAGACATTTTCATTTTGGACCATTACCCTGATATATGTTCACTTTACTTTAGCAAAATGGGCAGCTTTGATTCTTTTAGCATGACTTTGATTCATGGATGTTTTTGGGGAGGGAGATGAAGAAAATAGAAATGATGGATTTTCCTGCTACTTTGCTTCTTTGGCCATTAATTCTCATCAGTTAAGATAACAGTATATTCATCAACATAATTGCTGTCTCAAAAAGGGGCTACAATTGGTTCGAACAGGCCAAGAAACACAAGGGACCTCATTAAATGGAAATAGATACACATTGTATGTCAATCTAAACCAGTTTTTAAGTACTGCTCCTCACAAGCATGCTGAGATAATGCGTTTTGTCTGCTCTTCTGCTCTCTTGTTAAGAGGCATTTTATTTACTCTGTATTTTTAACACGGGGTCACACACTGTGTCGTGTCTTGCTGCGTTTTGTCTTGTTCCCATATTCTCTCACTCCCAATGTTTGATACATTGTCGTCTGTTCTTTTAGAAATGTTATATGGTGCATTCTGCTGGGAAATATAGCTCACACCGACAAAAGTTCACCCATCATCAGTGTTGGGTGTGACACACGTTACAAAAGTAACGGAGTTACAGTAATGTATTACTTTTTGCTGTTACGAAGTAATGTAACACATTACTAATGAAATGTGGGTAATACTACCCGTTACAATTCTCAGTAATGCAGTTACAACACATTTCAACCCGAAATGAAATGGTGTTTCGTTTTTTAGGAATTCACTAACATCGCGAGACATTCCGACACCAGAGATAAATTGTGCGGGTAGATTAGAAAGCCTGTTGTTTACCCCAGACCCGGCGGCAGACATAGGGGAGAGTGGGGTAAATTGAGCCATTTTTTTAGTTATGCTGTCCTCTAAGCAAGGAGAAATTACACATAGTAAAAATGAAAACACACACCTATAATTCAGGATGTCTCCTATCAATGGCAATGATAATAATTAATATTTGATCAAGGGCAGTGAAAATAGCCTATTACTTCTTTAAAAAAAAAGTCTTGTGGCTCAACTTGCCCCAGTGTAGGGGTAAATTGAACCACGGTTCAAACCTGGGCATACCTGTTCAAACCTGGGCATACCTACAACAAATCTTAAAGGTAACTATAAACTATAAATAACAAACCAAATGCAAGCTTAGTTTTTCAAATATTTTTTATATACATTTCGATTGAATTGATTGATTTGTTTTTAACATGTTAAAAGGAAAAGTAAGCTGTTTGACGCTCGCGATTTGTCAACGGGGGGAAGAGGGAGGCGCTCGTGAATTGTTGTTACGGAAAGAGAGGGGTTTTAGGTTGCCATAAGGCAGTTTACGGTCTTATACATCCATTGGTTGGTTTTGGTTTTTGGTTGATAGGCTAACTTTAAATTTTTATTTTTTCAATTCCATGAACCCACACTACCTTTGCGATCGACATAATGGGCACCCCTGCTTTACAACATCAGGAGGATACGTCCCCACCTGACCCAGAAAGCGACGCAGGTTCTGATCCAGGCTCTCGTCATCTCACGCCTAGACTACTGCAACTCCCTCCTGGCTGGTCTACCTGCATGTGCCAGCCGACTTCTGCAGCTCATCCAGAATGCAGCTGCTCGTCTGGTCTTCAACCTTCCAAAATGTTCCCACACCACACCGCTCCTCTACTCCCTTCACTGGCTTCCAGTAACTGCTAGAATCCACTTCAAGACAATGGTACTTGCGTACCATGCTGCGAATGGATTGGGCCCTTCCTACATCCAGGACATGGTTAAACTGTACACCCCAGCACGTGCACTCCGCTCTGCATCAGCCAAACAGCTCGCTGCACCCGCACTGTGAGGGGGACCCAAGTTCCCATCAGCAAAAACACGTCGGTTTGCTATCCTGGCTCCAAAATGGTGGAATGAGCTCCCCATTGAAATCAGGACAGCAGATAGCTTGCACATCTTCCGGGGGAGACTGAAAACTCATCTCTTTCGACTCCACTTCGATCGATAGAATTACTAACAAAGAATTGCTAACAAAGAATTGCTAACAAAGCACTTATATAGGCTACTAATAAAGGGCTGTGTAGGAGCCACATATGAAGCCATTTCTGTGTTTGTTACGATACATGTTTTTTGAGTCACTATAGGTGGTGGGCGTGTCATTGGATTTGTGTGTTGACGTTTGTGCTTATATCCGGTTGCTTTTACCTGCGCACTTTGTATAGATGGGGGAGTGAGCTAGAGAAGGACAATTCTTGTTGACCGCACGCACGCATACAAGGAAATACGTATATCATATGGATATGGAATATTGCATTTTTGCTTTGGAAATAAAAGGTCAAACGCATACTGTGTTGGAAAGACTGAGTTTTTGCGCGTCCACAGTGTTTTTTCTCTTGTTTAGTCCCTCGCGGCACTTTGTTTAAGATTACTGCCGCAATATTAAGTCAACAAAAAAGACTTGTACCACAGCGTGGATCTACGGAAATCGAGGCTACGGAGATTCCTATGATCGATCTGTGACGCTGTGGAATTAAAAGGAAACATTGAAACGCCGTGTTCGCCACTGTATTGGAGAGCGGCTTAAGGAAACTTCAGCGTACTGCCGGGAGGATAAAGAAAGACTGACGATCAATCCACACAGCATCAGGAGCGAGCGGTATGTAACTTCTTCATTCATGCTGTGTAAATGTTTGTTAGAACAGTGTGAATAAGTTACTGCTGCGTGTCCATTGGGGACTGACTTGTTGCTTGCGTGTGTTGGTTTGTGCCGCTAGAGGTTGTGTGGATTGGAGCATTTGTCGTTCATTCATTAAAACATTAAAAGGATATGTCAATAAGTGGATCAAATTCAGATGTCAATGTGACAAAAATGGATGAACAAAAGAGTCGATACTCACTGCCAAGGCTTTGGCAAATAAAATGGAAAAGCTCCAAAAGGAACGTCAATCAAAGGTTCACAAAATGAAAACTGTGATTAAAACAATGAAGGATCTCATGCAAAGGAATGACAACGCCTCACAAATACAAACTCAACTTGAACATTTAATTCAACTAGTTAAAGAAACCATCCTGTTACACAAGTCTGTAATTCCTCTTCTTCCTGCAGACGAACAGGAAAAACAAAATGTATGGTTTGCCAAGACACTGAAATACAATAATGGATTTATCGACGATGTCAGGCAATGGCTTTCTGAAACTGGGAGACAACCGAGCAGCACCATTGCACATGTTCCCTCAATTGAGATATCTGATGAACACCAGCAAAGTATGTCTCATGTTTCAAAAACACTCTGGGAAAAATGTTGAAACTTCCGAAGCACAAGATGAAATAAAACCAAGCGACAGTGTTTCAAACATATAGAAACATTGGGTCTTGCAAGCGGAGCTCTGCTGGAACCAGTTCCAGTATTTCAACTACATCATCATGCATCAAAGCTGAGGCTGACATGGCCGCTCTCATGGCACGACAAATGTTATTAAAAGACAAGCATGCATTGGATGAACAAGAGGAAGAGCTCAGGAAAAAGAAGGAAGAGCTCAGGAAACAGAGGGAGCAACTGGAAATGGAAGTGGAAATAGCCGCATCAAGGGCTTAAATGAATGTGCTAAGACGCTCTGGAAGGTCTCGTGCTGCAAGTAACACATCTGTGAGTCCCATGGCATGAATTCTTATTTGGAAAGGGGACGAAAGGAAGCCACACTCAGTGCTGGAGCAAAAACATTTGTGCCTGACACAAACAGGCCTACAGGTGGCCAGTCTGAGGCACAGTTTTCGCACAGAGAACATGAAGTAGAATATGGACATCTGCAACATCAAGCCACAAGAAGCTCAGAGGCCAATATACATCAAAGTTCAACACAATCACATCCAGTTACAGCACCAAAGCAATCACCCAGCAGCACTCACTCAAAAAAATAACTCTTTGAATGAACGTAATTAAATCATGGACAATATTTCCACATGATTAAATCACTTTCTTTCAAGATTAAGCAATTTGATTGGTCCAACTTAATTTACTTGGGTTGGGTCAACGCAATCTATTAGGATTGATACTACTTATTTATAAGGTGTGTTACCAACTTAATTTACCTGGGTTGGGTCAACGTAATCTATTAGGGTTGATACTACTTATTTATAAGGTGTGTTACCAACTTAATTTACCTGGGTTGGGTCAACGTAATCTATTAGGGTTGATACTACTTATTTATAAGGTGTGTTACCAACTTAATTGACCTGGGTTGGGTCAACGTAATTGCTTAAAGCTGAAAGAAAGCCATTTCATCATGTGGAAATACTGTCCATGATTTAATCAAGTTCATTCAAAGAATAACTTTTGAGTGTTTACATATTTAAAACGTTTAGAGTGAACAGTAACAGAATTTCAACAGTCTACAGTCTAGTGAGCTTCAAGGGTGGAAACATAACACAAACGCAACACAAAAATGTTGAAATAAAATTGTATTTCACAAAATAGGCAAAGAGAAACAATGCTTCAGATGCTTGAAAAAATTAAGCTTCTTCCCAAATATTATATGAAATATAATACGAGGATGCATTCGCGTCTCACGTCATTGCTGTCAGTCTAAGTATGCAGATTAGAGAACATACAATAAAAAAAGCCCAGTAAGAACACCATCTCAGCCAACAAGCAGACTGGCTTTCACTGTTATTAAATATAACAGTGAATATATATTTCACAAAATAGGCAAAGATAAACAATGCTTTACACTGACAGATATTAAATATAACAGTGAATATATATTTCACAAAATAGCTTTATACTGACAGATGCTTGAAAAAACAGTTTCTTCCCAAATATTAAAATGTTTCAACTTTAGGGTGAACAGTATAACAAACTTGAATTTCAACAGTAGACCAAATAAGGCAATGGTAACATCTGCTTACTTACTTTTATACTTCTTGCATACAATCAACATTTCTGTCAAAGAGGTGAGTCACCGAATCTCTGATGGCTGCGTGTTTGGAAGATGAGGCGATCCCAAACAGTGACATTAGGCACGGGAAAGCAATGTTTTGAGAACTTGTCCTTTTGTGGATAGTCTGTTTCCATCTATAGCTCCATCATTATTTTCTGCAGTGCTTCAAATGTAAACTTCAGCTCTGGAGGGTAGCTCAAGAGCATACACGAGAGCAAACATCATCGCCACCGCAAAAGATACGTTTCCCAACTCATCCAACACTTCGAGCCCCTCCAGAATGATCCCAACGTTCTCGGGGTCATCCCAGGCTCTGCACCGTCGTGTCGAATGACAAATATTCCGAAGACCGTCTCTGCCATTGCCGTTTGACTGCTGTTGTCGATGCTCTGTGAAAAACAAATAAGGAGAGTGATTTTCACTGATGTGCATTACATCCCATTTCTATAATGTGTCATATTGAGTTTTATGTAGTTTGGGTTTTCCAAATTGAAAAAAGAAAGAACAAAAAACACTGTTTCCAAAAAGCATTAACACATCCAACATCATCAAAATGTAAAGGCAACATTTCCCTAAGGGTTAGTTTTAGAAGAAACACAATCCATTCCAACTATGATCATCCTCCTCTTTGTGAAGATAAAAAAGGTACATCAACATACCATGTATTCCTTCACCAGCTCTGGATCTTCATTGAAGTATACACAAAGACCTTTGAGGATGCATTCGCGTCTCACGTCAATGCTGTCAGTCGAACATGCAATAAAAAAGCCCATTATGAACAACAAGCAGTCTGGGTTTCACCGTTTCACAAATGTTTTATTTAAAACCCTGAATGTAATATTGCACTTTAATTAAATGGGTTTAGTCAGATAACATACTATGCAATTTAAGCAATACATTTTTCTAAAAAAGGAAAATAATTAGTTGTTCATTTGAGAAGACCTGTCTTATTTTGAATATTTTAAATGGCTTTTTATTGAAGAAATACTTTTGCTTTAAAAAGCTAATCTGTTTCCAATTACTCGATTAATCAATGGAATAATTGACAGAATACTCGATTACTAAAATAATTGATAGCTGCAGTCATAGGCGTGAGGCTCAGGTTTGGGAAGGCTAAATAACTTTTTTTACCTGCCGCTGCCCGCCACCGGCGTGTATAGAAAATAGATCAACTCAGTGACCAATCAGAGCTCAGTGTGCAGAGTTTAAATCTATCACGTCATATTACAGGATAAAGGAAATACAGTTTAAACTGCCGTATGCAGAGAAGACGCCGACGTGTCGCACTTATCGTTCATATCACATCATCAATCAGATCATCGATCAGATAATATATATTTCCTTATCTGAGTCAGCTGAGCCGTATCTGGCCGTGCAACACTTAGTGTCACATACTGTATGCAGAAGTATTATTTTAAGCAACACATTGGGTTGACGAAACACTCAACTCAAATGTAATTAAAGTCAGATCCACTCGTGTCTATGGGGCAGTGATATCATAAAACTGTTGTACGCTTTCAAACGCTCTGTAGTTTATTTATTTTTTAACGAGTTGTTCTATATTCACCTTGCAGGTGCAACTATGTGGCTTGTATCCTGGATTATATGTTTAAGTCATGGATGGTTAAAGCTCATATTTGTCTAATATTAGTTTACTTTTCATTACTGAAGTATGATGCTGCGCAGTACACTTGTCCCTGTGTGTGATTGGTCAAATGTAGCTAACCCCGCCCCTTTCACATAAATGTGCTCTCAGCTGGAGAAAGAATCCCTGGCTTGATTTACCGAGTTGATAACCAGCGTTGTAGGACCGCTTAGCGAGATCTCGTTTGTTAGGGTTAGTTAAGATAACTCAAACATATCCAGGGTCTGTTGAACTGGCTTCGTAGTACAGTTTACTGGTGGCTGCATAGCAGCGCTAATGTCAAAGACACAAACATGTTATTTTTATTTTACCAGGATGCAGTGACAAAAATATTTGCGAAGGCTTAGCCTTCCCTAGCCTACAGTACCCGCCGCCCCTGGCTGCAGCCCTACAGTACACTCAGTGACCATTGGGGTAGGAACATCTGCCATTTCCATGAAAGACTGCTGTCAGGGACAGCTTTGTAGTGCGTTATTTTAGGCCTTCATAATAGTATGCCGCTCACTTTGATACAATGACCCCCACTGGGGGAATGGATGTGGTGCTAAGTGTCAAAATAATATCGAAAACATAATGCTCCGGATGCTATGCTATTCACGGAACATCGTAGACTTTATACAGCTCCTACAGTTTCTTTGTCACCTTTACATTGTTTTCATACCTGGGTTATGGGAAGCATGATGCTTTTGATCTTCTTCCCTTGAACTCCACCTTTCTTGGTATACACGTCGATCAGGCTTGTAGAGTGAATATCCAGCGAAGAGAAGAACTTGGATTGCAAATTAATTGTTGTGATTCTCTTAAATTCTGCATTCACCTACAACAAAAAAACAAAACCCACAAAACTCAGATTAGCTATTTTGATGTCACTGTTCACAGGTTTAATTTAGCAGTTCAGTCCGTTTAAGACATGCAATTGCATAAATCATGTATTTACATTAGCAGATAAAAAGGCATAAAATACTTGAATGAATGGTAAATAAAGAATGCTGGAAATAACTGCATCTCCATTAACCTATATGCACTATGCAGAGACTGCCTTCTTCATGTTGTGAATTGCAGCTGATGTTTTAATATGGCAATTGGCAAAAGTTTGACATTTTACTCATACAATAACCCATCTTCGAGTGATGCTCTAGTTTCCAGCCTGCATGATCGGCCTGTAGGGAGGGACGGCCCTGCGTGTGTGTCTCACCTGATTGAGGGTCTTCTGCAGGTGTGGTGTGCCCATGCGTTCTGCAATGTGCCTGTACCCCGGGTGGGACAGGAAGAACTTCCTCTCAGCAGCCAAAGCAGCGCGGATGTCTTTCTTTCCATCAATGTCCTTCTGACTGCGGTTCACCACCCCGATGTAACCTAAAGAAAGACAAATATCAGTTGTTCAATGTGAGTTATGGAATAAAGACAAACGTTGATTCCAAAGCACTTGCGACCAAATATTAAATTATTATAACTTCTACAATTGGAGAACTGTTCACATGTGGAACAATACAAATAAAGCTGTTAGTCAATTTAACACCATAGTAATTGTTTAATTTCAATGTCAGGAATTACAGGGAAAATAATGCAGATTGATGATTTGCTGACCCCTAAAGAAAAGACACCCTGTTTTGGGTAGTATATAAAGTCTGTAAATATTGTAATGTAATAGCTGGATTCCAATCAAGGATTTAATCAAATGTGTGCATGTGGGGGGGTTCTCACCTCTGTGGAGCAGCAGTAGTTTGTTTTCCAGGATGTCTTGTGCATCTGTCCCTTCATCCATCAGGTCCAGCTTGGTGATCACACCAATAAAGACAAAAGCATCAATGCTAATACTGAATCTCTCGCTCTTATATATTCACACGCCCCCTCGCACAGAGACCCTGGATTGGAAAAGATCGAAAATACTCAAAATAATCAGACGCATTTTGCAGTCTTTTTGCATATTAAAAACGGAGTTGGCAAAACTAAAACTGCAATATAATGTTTGTGTAGCATAATACATATAACATGTTTTAAATATCTCCAGTACCGATACAAAGACTGATAACATTGGAGCTTAATGGCACCAGAGTCTTTAATAATTAATTCCCGGGACTCCTTTGATTAATACAGGGCTCGGTACCCTACTGAATTGTTACATTATCCTATATTACTCAAAGTTGAAGTGCTTGTTTTTGCCACTGATAAGCACACGTATTATTATTATTAAGTGCCTGACAACATTATTACTTCAAATGTGTGGACATCAATATTTAAAATCGAGGAATATTAAGGAAACGTTGCCGATTTTCAGCCGGCTCTTTGTCACTGCAGTGCAGGCAGCATGTAGGTTACTGGCCCGGGGGTGCAGTTACACAGAGCCGAACATAACTATATGCTGAGCAGGGAGAGCTAGCGGAGAGAGTCAGAGTGCGACTACCGACACTGGCAGAGCGGCACCCGTCACGCAACATTAACTGCAGAGTAGGGGTGGGCGATACCACAAAATCTGGATTCGATCCGATACCAAGTATTTCAGGGCCAGTATCGCCGATACCGATATCGATACTTTTTTTAATGAAAAGCGTCTTATGTACTTTCATATAGGGGAGAGCTGCATGACATGATTTTTGAGCTGAAATCATCATAAATAGACTAAATCTGAATTCATTTTCATGAATAAAGACAGGACAGTTTTTATAGACAAATACACGTTTTACTTTTGCAAATTTAAAGTGCAAACATGAAAAATAACAATACAAAGTGGCCAAAGTAGCGAACTGTCTTCTTGCACACATCACAGTTCGCTAAGTTTTAATTGCCAGTTGTGAAATTGCTCCACACAACGCTGCTCTTTCTCTCAGCCATCATGCGCGTGTTGCACTCGCGAGTCGCTGGCTGCTGCTGTCCTGCCCTGCTGGCTGCTGTTAGTCAGCTTGATAATCGGCGTTCAGGCAGGGAGCCTCGAGGAGAAGAGGACAGCAGTGGAGAGAGAAGAAAAGAGCATATACTTGTGTTCGTCTGCACATAGTTTTTTGAAGAAATTGACGAGTAGAGGAGACGAGAAAAAAAGTATAACAGTATCGATCCTATTGGCTCTAGTATCGATATTTTGAAACGTAACGTAATATCGGAAGTATCGATATTTTGGGATCGATCCGCCCACCCCTACTGCAGAGCGAAAACCACAGTGGCAGTCAGCTCCGCATGGCAGCTAGCTTGGCAGCTAATTTACGTGACGCAGCCGAATAACGGCGCAACATTCCTTTGTAAAAGGGGCTGATATTACTGACATATAAGCGCCGGGGGTAGCACACTTTTCGTTTAACTTTCTCAGGGTAATGCTTCCGTCATTTAGTTTTCAATCCTGATATTCTATATTTGAACCATCTCCCTAACTGGCAGTTACACAGACTAGCTAGTTAACGGCTTTAGCATGTTCGTCGGCTCATTCGGCTTTTTAAGTGAGATAAAAAAGAACACTAAATAACACATTAACTATCAACGTTACCACAATATCGCTCATGGACTAGCAGTTGATGACATTTATTAACAGCTTCACAGTTAGATGACAATGTTTTCTGCTTACCTCCTCCAACTTTCGCCATCGGTCTTTCTTGTCTGAATGATCCTCTCTCGCGATGATGATGGTTAAGTTTACGGTTAAGTCCAAATATCGCGAGTGCACACAGGATGCAGGGAAAAACCTTTCCCGCCAGATCGCGGACAAAATAAAACAATGGCAGAGTCTGGCAGAGTTCTCTTAATACATCCATGGAAGTGTCCAAGAGCAGTCAAGAATGTAGCATGTCTTATTGTTTGTCGTTTCACATCTTTACAACCGTGAACATTTAAAAGTAGATTGATTTTTGTCTCTGATTACATTAGTTGGTATCCAGTTTATTGGTGGTTATACCGCCACCTTCTGCTCTGGAGTGGGAATCATATGTACCCTAATCCCTTTGTGTCAGTTTATCTCAACATGAATGAATCTAATAAATGTGAAGTTGTTGCGATTCATGCAAACCATACATGTTTTCATCACGTTCATCTTGGAAACATGAAATTATTACGTTTAAAATACATGTTACATTTTATTTGATGTAACAGCCAGCCAAAGTCCTTTTTTTGAGTGCTGGCACCAAGCAGCAGTGCTCAGAATCCTTTAATTAATGTCTTAGAAAGACAAAATGAAATAACATCCATGTTGGTTCAGCAACAGTCTCTTTCTTTTCTGCCTAAAAGAGAAATTCAGATTTTTGATGGCTCTCTGTTTCAATATCAAGCATTAAGAGCTTTTGAGCACAGCATTGAGGAGAAGACTCACAACCCTAAAGACTGCCTGTATTTTCTCGAACAGTACACCAGGGGGCATCCTTTGGAGCTTGTCAGAAGCTGTCAGCATATGGCCCATGACAGAGGATATGCCAAAGCAAAGGCTTTGCTTCAGCAGCATTTTGGTAATGCACAGAAAATTGTTTCAGCTTACATGGAAAAGGCTCTTTCATGGCAGCCAATAAGAGTAGAAGATGTGCGAGCTCTGCAAGCTTACGGTCTCTTTCTGAGAGGATGCTGCAACGTCATGGAAGAGTTTGAATACATGTGTGAGTTGAACATGCCTAGCAATATGCTATAAAAAAGTTGCCCTACAAATATAGGGACAAATGGAAAACTCTGGCCTATGACTTACAGAAAAGGCAGGGCCGGAGAGCTACATTCATGGATATTGTTAACTTCATTGAAAGACAGATGGATATTGTGAGCGATCCACGGTTTGGAGATATACAGGATACTCCACCAGCAGCCAACAAAGATGTGAGGAAAGCTAAGTTTGAACCTCGTTCAAGGATGAGGGGAAGCAGCTTTGCTACTACTATTACGACAGCGGAAAAGAAAGTGGAACTTGGAATAAGAATGAAGGAGAGAGGCTCACTAGATACAAGTGTTTGCCTGTTTTGTGGAGGTGGACATACACTGGATCTGTGTTTTCAACTGGAAAGAAAGGCTCATAGTGAGAAAATCGCTTTCTTGAGGGAACATGGTGTGTGTTTTGGATGCTTGTGTATTGGGCACATGAGTAAAGACTGCAGGAAACGCCTCTCATGCGAAGTATGCAGTCTGAAGCACCCAAGCATACTTCATATCTATCAGAAAGAGAAAGAAACTGACACAATGCAAGCTAAAGGAAAAGCTATAAGCAGTGCTCTGATCTCCGTTCAGTCCAGTGGTCTTACAGGAGCCGGTGAGCCAGATTGCACTCTCTCCATAGTGCCTATTCAAGTAAAGTCTAAGAAGGGACATGAAACAATCATAACATATGCCTTCCTGGATCCTGGGAGCTCAGCATCATTCTGCACGGAGCGGCTGATGAACAAACTGAATCTCAGGGGAAGAAGAACAGACATTCTCCTTCGGACAATGGGTCAGGGGAAAATAGTTGGAAGTCACATTGTTTCTGACCTGCGTGGCTGGATTAGACAGCAGTCATTATTGTGAGCTGCCTGACACCTACACCCAGAAAACTATGCCAGTTCATCGAGGCAACATTCCTCAGCAGAAATACCTTCAGAGATGGCCACACCTGAAACATGTAATGATTACTGAGATTGATTCAGATGTGGACCTGTTGATTGGGACTAATGTTCCTGAGGCACTGGAGCCATGGGAAGTTATTCGGAGTGTAGACGGGGGCCTATATGCAGTCAAAACGATGCTGGGTTGGACTGTCAATGGACCTCTCAGAGGAGACAGGAGTAGTGAAATTACTTGTGGACAGCCAGATGTCACTGTCAATAGGATATCTGTTGCAAACCTTGAAGATCTGTGGAAGCAGCAGCTAAAGGCTGATTTCCCTGAATGCAGTCAGGATGAGCAGATGGGACAGTCAAGAGAGGACTGTCACTTTATGGAGTACGTCACAAAGTCTGCTAAGTTGATGGATGGCCATTACTGTATTGGCTTACCTTTAAGGAAAAGGGATGTTAGTATGCCAAACAATAGGAGAGTAGCAGAACAACGTACACTGAGCCTCAAGAGAAGGTTTGATAAAGATGTTTCATTTCATGCTGATTACACCGCTTTCATGAATTACATCCTTTCGAAGGGCTATGCAGAGAAAGTGCCAGTTGTGGATCTGGAACGCAGTGACGGCAGGGTATGGTATATACCACACCATGGTGTATACCACCCAAAGAAGAAACAGATCAGGGTCGTATTTGACTGTGCAGCTACATTCCAGGGAACATCGCTGAATGCGCAGCTCCTACAGGGACCAGATCTTACCAGCACACTGGTTGGAGTCATGACAAGATTCAGAAAGGAACATGTTGTACTCATGGCAGACATTGAAGCCATGTTTCATCAGGTTCGAGTACCAGCTGAGGATTCGGATCTGTTGAGGTTTCTCTGGTGGCCAAATGGAGATCATCAGAACTTAGAAGAGCACAGAATGGTTGCACATCTGTTTGGAGCTACATCGTCGCCAAGTTGTGCTAGTTTTGCCCTTAGAAAGTGTGCAGAGGACCATCGGGAGCAGTTCAGCCCCAAAGCAATCAACACTGTCCTGCACAATTTCTATGTTGATGATTGTCTAACATCTGTGGTCTCAGAGGAGGAGGCAGTGGCACTCTATCATGACCTTTGTGCACTTTGTGCTCAAGGGGGCTTTCATCTCACAAAATGGATTAGCAACAGACGTACCGTGCTTGCTGTTATACCTTCGATGGAGAGAGCGAAAGAAGTTAAGGATCTGGACTTGGATAATGACACACTCCCTGTGGAAAGAGCATTGGGCGTACAGTGGTGTGTTGAGTCAGATGTCTTTAAGTTCATGATCATGATCAAGGACAAAGCCATAACCAGAAGAGGGATCCTTTCCATGGTCAGCTCAATATTTGACCCATTAGGAATATTGGCACCTGTGGTCCTATCAGCCAAGATGATTCTTCAAGACTTGTGCAGAAGAGAACTTGGTTGGGATGATATTATACCAGCCTCAGCTGCACAAGAGTGGAAAAATTGGCTGAAGGAGCTCTGCAATCTCGAAGAGTTTAAAGTTGACAGGGTTATAGTACCTCAAATGGAATTGACGGCTGCTGTGGTTGCAAGTCGTATGGACAAGATGTGTAGGAAGGAGCTGCAAATGCAACTTAAAGACTCCATCTTTTGGACTGATAGTACTTCCGTACTGAAGTACATCAGTAATGAGACCTTAAGGTTTCGAACCTTCGTCGCAAACAGGGTTTCAAAAATACGCAGCATATCAAATCCATCTCAGTGGAAATATGTTCCAACCGCAAGCAATCCTACCGACTGGGCTTCCAGGGGAGTCAAAGTGGAAACGCTCCTGAAAGATGACACATGGGTGTCTGGACCTCAGTTTCTCACTGGACCTGAAGAACAGTGGCCTGGGAACCCTGATGGCTCTGAAATGGCACCAGAAGACCCTGAGGTCAAGATAAGTCTTAATGTGAACGCTGTGCAGGTTGAAAAAGAGATGGATGCTGTAACCCGATTGATCAATCACTTCTCTTCTTGGATCCACCTGAAGAAGACAGTTGGTTGGATCCTTAGGTTGAAAAACCTGCTGTTGTGCCTTAGTCGGAAGAGGAAGCAATTGAGTCTGACTCTTGCTCAGTCTGGCTTGAATAAGGATCAACAAGACCGAGAGATGAAAAAGGAAATGCAGACTATCAAGGCTCAGGTGGTCTCTGGTTTTCTTTCTATTGAGGACCTCCGAAAAGCTGAGAAAGAAATTATCTGCTTTTGCCAAAGAAAAAGGTTTCCTGATGAAATCAAAGGCTTGCAAAAGGGAGAAGGTGTGAAAAGGACTAGTCACATCTACAAGCTCAACCCAGTACTTGAAGATGTTGTTCTGAGAGTGGGGAGGACGTCTCAGTAGAGCAGTAATGCCTGAAGAATCTAACATCCTGCTATATTGGCAAAAGATCTTCACATTTCTGACATCATTCTACGGCAAGTACACCAAGATGTGGGACACGGTGGTCCTAACCACATGCTATCTAGCCTGCGACAAAGATACTGGATTCCTGGTGCTAGTGTGGCTATAAGGAAAAGCCTGTCAAAATGTGTTGTTTGTCGGCGACTAAATGGAGCTCCAGGAATGCAGCAGATGGCAGATTTACCTTGAGACAGAGTTTCTCCAGATGAACCTCCATTCACTCGTGTTGGAGTTGACTATTTTGGACCTTTTGAGGTCAAGCGAGGAAGGAGTACAGTTAAAAAGTATTCTCTTCACATGCTTAACAGTAAGAGCCATCCACATTGAAGTAGCTTCATCCTTGGATACAGATTCCTTTGTTAATGCTCTTCGACGCTTCATCGCAAGACGTGGACAAGTAATAATGGAACCAACTTCGTCGGAGCTGAGCGTGAATTGAGAGAGGCAATAGAAAGGTTGAATATTGCTAAAATCAACAACACCCTCCTTCAGAGAGGAAATTAGTGAACTTCATAGACCTTGACGTTTTTTCCGACTTTTTTCTAAGTGATAGTAAAGATCACTTCATAGGCTAACAAAATATATATTTTTAATTTTATTTTCTATTTTTTGCCTAAAGAAGAAAAGGACACTTTAACAAAGGACGTTTTTATCCTTAAAAGTTTTTTCCTTGATTGTCTCCTACATCATTTTTCAGTTGTGTAATTATGTTGATATAATTAGGGGCCGGAATGTAGGAGCCACATATGAAGCCATTTCTGTGTTTGTTACGATACATGTTTTTTGAGTCACTATAGGTGGTGGGCGTGTCATTGGATTTATGTGGTGACGTTTGTGCTTATATCCGGTTGCTTTTACCTGCGCACTTTGTATAGATGGGGGAGTGAGCTCGAGAAGGACAATTTTTGTTGACCGCACGCACGCACGCATGCACGCATACAAGGATATACGTATATCATATGGATATGGAATATTGCATTTTTGCTTTGGAAATAAAAGGTCAAACGCATACTGTGTTGGAAAGACTGAGTTTTTGCGCGTCCACAGTGTT